CTGTGCGCCGTTTGCCAGATGCCGCATCGATGCCAAGGTCCGTGCCGTGCAGGCCGAACCGCACAGGGATGCCTCGCTTCTGCAAATGAGCGGCCGTCCTCCTCCCGTCCTGCGGAACGGTGGCAATGAGGACTGACTTGTCCGAAAGCTTAAGACGGAATTGAGTGGCGAGGCCGGCGAGAATGACCGTAGCGTGGAGGATCTCGGTTTGGACCTTGGTTCGCGTGCCTTCTGAGCGGGCAACCGCGTCGTCAATGAAGGTCCAGAAGGTGCTGAAGCTCGCTCTGCGATGTGCCGCCTCCATCAATGGACGTAAAAACAACTTGGCAATCCTTGCCCCATGCGGGGAGCCTGCAACGAGAGATCTGGTGGCGAAGATGGCGTCTGCAACGCCAAGAGAGCCCCGCAAGAAACGCGGCCCAGCGCACATCTCCAGCTCCAGTAGCACCACAATCGCTGGGAACTTGAGATCGAGTGCAGCTTGGCCAATGAGGACCCAGGATAACGAGTCGTAGAACATCTCGAAGTCCAAAAGCAGGGTCGCCGCCGAGATGCCAAGAGCCACTGCGGATTCATCGAGCAACGCTCGCAAGAGACCCGCTCGAAGCGAGCTGCTGCCCGCCGCTGCGGTGTCCCAGAAGTCAGAGAGCTCCTTAGTCCATGTAGACGTAACGCCTGCTCTCACGCGGGACCAAACCTTCGCCGTCTCTGGAAGTAGTCCGATGACCCTTTCTCCTCCTTTGGGTTTAGGTAATAATGCTCCAATAGTTGCCAGGATCTGAGCAGGCCAAACTCCATGTTCTTCAATGCTGTTGAGAAGCCTGCAGTAATCACACCGACCTTCAAGTGGAAGCCGTTGGATGTCCAGAGGTGTGATGGAGTCAATCAACTCCGCAGGCCTTGGTGCCGAGAACCTTGAGAACATTGTCCACCTGTTCGACACTGACAGGATCTAGCTCCTCCTCGCGGCTCTGCGTGTGCAGGCGCTTGAACATGGCGAGGATGTCGGACTGGGGGTCGACTGGGTCGTGCCAGAGTCCCTCCCAGGTGGATCTGGTGTGTTCCATTCTGACAGTTGGGTCTCCAACGACGCGCCCATCCACTAAGGGGTCAGCAGAGACCGCCTTGGGTTCCTTCACCAGTGAGTGGAGCAGGCCCGGCTTAGATGTCCAAACTTCCTTGGCCCATCGGATGAAGGAATGCCGCCTCAAGGTCAAGCATCTTGCCTGAGAACGACAGGCCAGCTTCTCAGTTAAGTAGGCGAAATCGTCGCGCTCCATCTCGGTGGCGCTCGCGAAGGCGCGAGACCAAGAAATCCACCGCTGCTGATTAGCGGCGCCCTCTGAACCTGGACCAAAGAAGTCGGATGGGTCGAAGCTGTTGGCGTCGTTGGTGTAGCGACCAAGGGCTGAGGTACAAATCGCTAGCTGGCGAGGATCCTTGCCATGGCGTAGGAGAGCCATGATTATTTGAACCAAGGTGAGAACTGTTCCCCACCATTCTCCAGCTCCATCAGTCATGTGCACTCGCCCTGGAGTAGCTTTGGTCTGCATCCATCGTAAAGAAAACCCAGCTGCGCGTGGAACTCGCAGTCGAGGGTCGAGCTGATGACGAAGTGCGACGGCACGTTCCACTCCAGAGGACCACCGCGCGTACTGCCTGGTGACGGCACCAAGGCCGAGCACGTTGATCTGGCCCAACAACTCAGAATTGACCACGCTGCAACATTGAGAACTGAGCCTCTCCTTGGAGGGCTGCTCTTCCCACAGGTCTGAAGGCATGTGAAAAGAGACCTGGGACTCAAGATCCAAAGTACTCTCTGATAGATGTAGTGCATCGTAATCTTCCAACAGATCGGGTGGTACGCGGGCCCGTTCTTGCTCTTGCCGTTGGGCTCGAAGTAGAGATCTCTTGCTGCTGGGGTCCGAGGCGAGCTTGGGTCTGGCAACCTTCGGAACCGGTTCAGGTAACAAAAGTTTCTGGTACCACCATCTGCGCATGCCGTCGTGGACGTCAACCTGTAAGGCACAATGCGTCTTCCACGGAACCTGAGGCTGCGAGCGAACTCGGTACCTGGAGGATGTTCCGTTCTTGGCCATGGCGAAATCAATGAGCGAGCCCTCTTGCCCTTTGTCGCACGTGGTGCTGACGTCAGCAGGCAGAAGGAGTGTGCCTCCTATTCTTTCAGGCCAGCCAGAGCCTTCCAAAGAAGTTGGGGAGATGTTCCAATCACCGATAACCAACCAAGGGTCTGCAAGACCATGAAGAAAGGAGGCTAACGCAACCAACACTTGGCGATTTCTGCCAGAAACTCCCAATCCTGGCCAAAGATAATCTGATACCAAGACCAGGTTGCCCGACGACATGTGCAAGATCATGGCGGCGAACCCGCGCATGGGATCAGGTTGGCGTGCAGCTTGTGCGTATTGCCGAATAGCCTGTAGTGGCGTGGTGGCCAGATGCTTCTTGGCCATAACCCATTCGCCACCAGAAGAGCCTCCTCGTCCTGTTGGTGTGCTCCCTGTGGCGCAGACCTTCCACCCGTCTTTGTCAAGGTCCATCTCCGTCTTGGAGTGGAACGTGGCGGAGGTGGCGTGAGTCTCCACCAGACAAAACACAGAGTAAGGGGCTGTGTTGACATATCGCTGCGCCTGAGGCCCCCACTCCGTGATGTTACCATAAAGGATCGAGAAATCATTCTCGTCGGTGGTGAGCTTGGAGGGGGCTGGAGCGGCCAAAGCCAGCGCTGCTGGTGCGCTGAGGTCAGCCCCAACGCAAGGAGGGGCGCTGCTGCAGGCAGCCTGGTCCGCACTAGCCTCAGGAGGGCTGGCGGTGACGCCTGGTGGCGAGGGGCCAACCTCCGCCTCGCGCGGCAAGTCCTGGGGGAAACGTTCGATGACCTCCTCCAGCTCCAGCTCCTCGAACGGATCCAGCTCGGCGTCGTACAGGTGCGCCGTCGTACAGGAAGGGACAGAGGCCTGCGGTCCCGTAGATGCGCGAGGCGCAGCCCTCGGGGGAGGGCTGTCATTAAGGGCATCATACGCCAGCCCGCCAAGCACACCCGTCAGCGAGGCTTGACCCGATGCGCCCGAAAAAGTGCGAGGAGCCGAAATCCTCGCACTCGGGAATGGCGAAGGACCGCGCGACGCCGGACGCGACGAAGACGAACGTCTCGCCTGCGGTGTCTGTGACGCCGAGACTGGAGCCGCAGTCGGCGAGCTGCGCGCCTCCAACGGTGCTGTAGTTGGCTCGCTTCCGAAGGCGCGCTCCTCATCCGCGTCGAGGAAGAACTCGACTGGGTAGGGCCAGGGGCGCCCGCCGTGACAGCATGCCGACGGAACTCGGCGCGGCGCCCCTAGCTCTGCGCTAGGCCGTGGACGGAGCCCCTGGCGCTGCAGGGGAGGGGGCGGCGCCAGGAGCGGCCTCTGCGGAGGGGGAGGCGGCCTCCTGCTGAGCATTAAGCTCGTCCTGGGCCGACTTGGCCTTGGCTCTGGCCGCAGCGCGCATGGCCTCGGCCCCAGCAGGAGCTCCTGCTGCCGCAGCGGCGCCTGCGGGCGCAGCCCCACCAGTTGCAGCAGCAGCAGCGGGGCCAGCAGCAGACCCAGCCGCATCGCTGCCGTCCACGCGCCTGCGCTTGGCCTCCTCCCTGGCGCGAAGCTTCCGAGCCTCCTCCCGAAGCTCCAGGATGCGCTGCGCCGAGGGTCCAAGGACTTCCTGGACCTTGGTCTGGACGCTGTCGGCCAGCTCCTGCTTGATGCGCCCCCAATCGACGCGCGCCTGCTCGTCGAGCTCCAGGCCCGAGAGGTCGAACAGCGGCCCGTCCACGATCTGCAGCGAGCCCTCATCGACGAGCGTCGACAGGTTGATCGCCGAAGAAGAGGGTGGCGGCGTTGAAGGCGGCGCCGCTTTGGCCTTGACCTGCTTGGCACAGGCCGCCTCCCAGTCCTGCTGCGCCGCATGAGCGCTGGCGGCCGCCTCGTCCTCGGCGGCCTGGGCGTCGGCCAGCCACTGCTTGCTCTCCAAGACGCGGGCCGAGCAGGTCTCAAGCCATGCCAGCGCCCTCCTGCCAGCCACACCTTTGGCCCGCACTTCCTCCTCAAGGAGTGGCGCCTTCTGAGGGGCGCCCGCGCCTGCAGCGGCTGCCTGAGCCTCCTTCTTGGCTTGCACCGCCGCCTTGAGCTTGAGCAGCTCGTCGCAGTCCGAGCCGAGCTCCTTCTCGAAGAACTCAAACGGGTCATCAGGCTGGGCGGGCTGCTGCTGCTGCTGCTGTCCCGAGCGGCCGCCATGAGGCACCCAGCCCGCCTGCTGATAGACCCAAGGCCGACGCTGGACGGTCTGGGCCTTCGGCGCGGGCCGGGGCGGAGGCGGTCCCTTGGCGCCCTTGCCTCCTGCCTGAGCCCAGGGAGGAGCCGCAGGGGCGTCGGCAGCAGACTCTGCTCCAGGAGGAGGCGTTGCGCCTGCCTGCGGCGGGCCCCAGACCCACTGGCCGCGGGGCCGCTTGTCCTCCGAGGGGCTCGGTACCAAGGCGCCGCCGCACTGGTAACACCAGTGGTTGTTCTTGAAGTTCCAGCGGAATCTGCAGGACGTGCAGGTGATGCACGTCGTCTTGGCCCCTGCCGCTGGAGCCAAGCGACCACCGCCGAAGCCTTTCCTGCCACCGCCCTTCTTGCCGCCGCCTCCCATGGCCGCTGCGAGAGAGGCTGCTCTCCCAGTGAAGGGGGCAGGCGAGGGACTGGGGCGGACCAGCCCTCGCGAAGAGGATGTCGGGCGCAAGCACCCTGGCACTGCCGCGGACTAGCGGTATCCAGTTCTGCCAATGCGGGCTCAGCCCGCAGGGAAGGCATCTTGAGCCAAAATGGCTACGGATAAGGAGGAGGAGGAGGAGGAGGGGAGGAGGGGAGGAGGAGGAGGAGGAGGAGGAGGAGGAGGAGGAGGAGGAAAGGAGGAAGGAGAAAAACGCCGCTAAATGTAGGCTGGAGCATCCTAAGTCGAGCGGGGAGGCGTTGGCCCCGCTGGTCGCCGCGGGGCCGCCGCCGTGGACCCTGCCCCGCGCCGCCGCCGCGGCGCGGGCCTCGGACGGCCGCGCGCTGGCGCTGCGGCGGGGCGACGCGGTGCTGCCGGGCGGCGCGGGGGGCGGCCCCGCCCGCGGCGCCCCGGGCGCGCCGGGCTGCCCGAGGCTCCGGGTGGAGGAAAGGAAACTCTAGAGGCCTCCTCCTCCTCCTCCCTCCTCCTCCTCACTCCTCCTCCTCATCCTCCTCCTCCTCCTCCTCCTCCTCCTCCCACTCCTCCCTCCTCCTCCTCCTCCTCCTCCTCTCCTCCTCCTCCTCCTCCTCCTCCTCCTCCTCCTCCGCCTCCTCCTCCTCCTCCTCCTCCTCCTCCTCCTCCTCCTCCTCCTCCTCCTCCTCCTCCTCCGCCTCATCCTCCTCCTCCTCCTCCTCCCTCGCTCCTCCTCCTCCTCCTCCTCCTCCTCCTCCTCCTCCTCCCCCTCTCTCCTCCTCCTCCTCCCTCCTCCCTCCTCCCTCCTCCTCCTCCACTCCTCCCTCCTCCTCCTCCTCCTCCTCCTCCTCCTCCTCCTCTTCCTCCTCCTCCTCCTCCTCCCCCTCCTCCTCCCCCTCTCCTCGTCCTCGCCTCGGTCCAGGAGCCTTTGCTCTCGGGACAAGTTTCCTTCATGCCCGAGGCTCCCGGGGAGGAAGCTCTCCGATGCTCCGGGTCCAGGATGCCCGAGGCTCCGGGGAGAAAGCTGTAGGCCTTCTCCTCCCCCCCCTCCTCCCTCCTCCTTCTCCTGGACTCGTGGACCGTATGTATTGGCCTCCCAGGCCGTGTCCGAGTGGATGGGGTCAGAGGATCGCGCCGCATCGCCGGTGCATCGATGATGCGGCTCGATGCGGAGCCCGTGTTTCCCCACGCCGACGTCGCCGATGCATCGCCGACATCGCCGAGGCATCGCCGATGCATCGCCGATACATCGGCGATGCATTGGCGATGCGGCGCGATCCTTCGGCCCCACCCACTTGGGCCCCATATAGGAGGCTCCAGAAGATCTCGGCGGCTGGCGAAGAGGGGGAAGTCTCGGGCTCGAGGGTTCGAGGTGTGCGGGCGTCTTTTTGGGTCGGCTCCGGGGAGGGGCAGCTTCGGTTACACTTAAGTCGGGCCTGTCCCCCTACAGGGGGATCTTCGACGAAAAATGAAAGATACCCCCAACATAATCATACAATAGTCCAAAAATAGCCCGGGGACTATTTTGTTACTATTTTTTATTTTTTTTGTTGTATTTTGGGGTATTTAAAATGTTCGCCGGAGTGGCTTCTGGTGCGGGCTCCTCGGGGCACCCCCCGATCGCCGAGCGCGGTACGATCGCAGCGGCCTGCGCGCTGGAGCTTGGGCCCCGCGCGCCCCCCAAGAGTCGGGGTTGGACAGACCTCCTACCCTGACGCGTCGATTGAGGAATTGGCTGTTTTCGGCTCTCGAGAGGGCGTCGCGGCCGTCATTTTTTGCGGGTCCAGGTCCGTCGGTTTCGGTCCCAGGCCGTCTTCACCAATGGGAGGTCTACGAAAGGGAGGCTTGTCCACCGCCGCAAGAGCCGCGCAGCAAAGGCCACCCTTACCCAGGGTCACTGTTGCGTCCAGCCGAGAACGCTCGTCGGCGAGCGAGGTGTCGAGATGTTCGGGCGTCTTTGTCGGTGTGTCGGGGGAGGCGGATGGAGGAGGAGGAGGAGGAGGAGGAGGAGGAGGAGGAGGAGGAGGAGGAGGAGGAGGAGAAAGCCTCGGGCTCGTTGTGTCGAGGTTTTTCGGGCGCTTGTTGTCGGTGCTCGGCTCTGTGCTCAAGCCTCGGCGTTTTCTCCGGCGGCCGCGCCCTGCCGATGGGCGCTCCAGAGGGGCGCCACGGAGCGTCCCGAAGGGCCGCTGGAGACCAGAGCTCCGTCGGGGGCGGCAAAGCGGGGGGTGATGACTAGGGAGGACGAGGACGAGGACGAGGACGAGGACGAGGAGGAGGGGGAGTAGGAGGAGGAGGAGGGGGAGGAGGAGGAGGAGGAGGAGGAGGAGGAGGAGGAGGAGGAGGAGGAGGAAGAGGAGGAGGGGGGGCGCCTCGCAGCCCTCGAGGGCGCCCATCGAGGGCGCGAAGTTATTCGCCCTTCGCGGTGCGGCTCCGATTCCCCCTCGTCCTCGTCATCCTCCTCATCCTCCCCTGGGAGGCGGCGCGAGAGCGCGAAGGTATTCGCACTTCGCGCTTCGCGCAGCGCGAAGCGCGACTAGTCGATTACCCGACTTCGCAGCCCCGTCTTGGGGCCGCATCCTCCCCTCTTCCAGGGGCGGAAGGGAGGGTGGTGATGACTAGGGGGGGGGATTTCATGGCGGGGGCTATGGTTTTTCCCCAGATTTCATGGCGCCTCTCCTTACTTCATTGCGTCCCAGGCCCCCCCGCCGGGCCGCGCACATGCCGCCGGTCATGGTTTGCACCCCTCCCCCTTGGACACCCCCCTCTTGGCCGCTCCCGATTCTGATTCCAAAACCAGATTCGGCTGCGCGCCGGGGGGGGAAGTGAGAAGGAGAAGGTCCTCTCGGAAAGCGGCGGGGCTTCTCAGAAGGCCTCGGGCCTTGTGAGAGGTTCTTGCTGTGCCTTCGGGGAGGGCTTACGAAGCTTCTCGCAAGGCCAGGGGACTTCCGAGCCTTCTGAGAAGGCCCGCCCCTCCTCGCTTCCTCGTTAGGCTTGCCGTCGAAAAGGGGAGTCGGGGCTCAGGGGACGGGGGTGCGCATGCGAGGTCAGCCAGAGCGCCGGATCCTGCAGGAGCCTGCGCCTGCAGAGCCAGGGGTGCACTGGCCCGGGCTTGGGTGTGGGATCCTGCAAGATCCGGTAGGATGCTGCAGGCGCTTGCATTGAGTCGGGCCTGTCCCTCTACAGGGGGAATATTCAAAAATAGTAGGAAAAAAGTATGGGGACGATTTTTTGAGTATTTGTTGACCATTTTGAAATATTTCTGATTATCTTTTCCTCGGGGATCCCCCTGTAGGGGGACTGGCCCGACTTCATTCAAGGCCCGACTGACCCGTGTTTGCATGGACCCGGGTCAGCAGATCCCCGAGGGCGGAACCGCGGGGAGTTTGGGCGTCGCTTCGTGGAGGCCAATTGTGCACACTGCGGGCCCTGCAGGCCCCCTTTTGGGTTCTAAGGGGCCCCTTCAGGGGCCCTAAAGGGCCCCTCTTCACTTCTGCACCTCCCGTTCCCCCCCAATTATCGCGCCCATTACGAGACGCCCAAGGAGGAAAATCGGGCGCTGACAGAACTTGGAGTCGGCTGGGGACATGAGCTGGCTCAGCATTGATTCTAGCCAGCAGGACGGGGGGGCGAGGTCCGTGGTTCTGGGTTGGGAAGATTTTTGTGCCCTTTTCTGTATCCCTCTGGCGATTTCAGGTCCCGGGCCCGTCGAAACTGATCTGCGGTGAAACATTGCATGAGATGGAGCCCGGGAGGGTTCCAGGGACCGATTCTGAGCGGATTTGCCCTTCCCCCCCGGATTGACCGTCAACAGCGGATGCGGGGGGGAGAAGTGTTTACCGATCCCTGCCCTACGGGCGAGGAGACTGATGCACTTGCACCCATCCTGGCCAGGCCCATCCTCGGCTCAGGATCGGTGTGTGTGTGTGTGTGTGTGTGTGTGCGTGTGTGTGTGTGTGTGCCTCCGCGTCCAAGCCAGGAGGGCGTGTGCACCGCTCCTGGGCTCCGTATGGGCCGGGCCTGGATCTGCGCATGTGCACCGATCTCTTCCCTCTGTCCCTCGAGGAGGAGGAGGAGGAGGAGGAGAGGATGAGGAGGAGGAGGAGGAGGAGGAGCCCGCAGCTCCCAGGGCACGCCCGGGATGCTCGAGGTTCAGGGGAGGAGAATCGGATAGAACGTCCACCCAGACGAATCGGCCGAATAAATCTGCACGAGTTCAGTCGACACTGGCAAACGAGTGCGCCAGTGCAGTCAGAGGTCGGCTTCGATAATCGACGTGCGTTTCGCACGAGCAATTCGGTTGTCTTCAGACGTCGATCCGTGATTCCGCCCGGGCGCACTCGGAATGCTGTGCCGCGCGCACCCATGGAGTGCCCCAGCGTCTTTCGCGAAGGGGCATTTTGCCAACGGGGCTTCTGTGGGTCCCTCCTCCCTCCTCCCTCCTCCCTCCTCTGGGGAGGTTCGAAAAACACTGAATTGCCGCCGGCGTTCAATGTTGAACGGTCGATGTTGAACGGTCCGACGTTTCGGACACGGCCGATCGTTCAAGGTTGAACGATTGCGCGGTGTCAGAAGCCAACGCCGAAGTCGGCATGCATGACACGAACCTGCCGTAAATTTTCGGAGCTCCTCCGCGCAGATCTCTTGGATCGCCGACGGGGACGCCCTGGCGGCGCCTCCGGCGCCGCCCCCTGGCGCGCTCCGCGGGGTTTAGCGCCGATCCTTGACCAAGGGCGCCCTCGAGGGCGCGAAGTTTTTCGCGCTTCGCGGTTCGGCTCCGATTCCTCCTCGTCCTCCCCTTTTTCCTTGGGAGGCGGCGCGAGAGCGCCAAGTTATTCGCACTTCGCGCGCTTCGCGCAGCGCGCAGCGCGAAGTTGGGAGCCCCTTGTTGAAGTCCGTGGCGCTCAAAGTTTCTCTTGCTGTCCCTCAAGAGGTGGTGAGGGTGCTCAGTGCCGCGGACCTGGTCTACGTCGGCCCCAACCATGCCGCTGCGCGGCTAGAGGCAGCCCCCGCCCCCCCCCCCCCTTGGCATCGCTCGGACGTGTGCATGTTTCCTTCGGCGAGGACCATCGAGGAGCATCCTTGATCATTTGGCGAAAAAAACCACGCACGAAACCGAACAAAAACACAGGGAATGGACGTCCGAGCGATGGCCAGCCCCCCCTTGTCAGGCCGGTAGGGGGAACAGGGTGGTGCACGGTGTGGGTGTTTCACATGGCATTCTTTGTTTGCCCCTAGCCGCGGTGGTTTGCCCACGACATTCCTTGTTCGTGAAAGGGAACCGCTCATAGGGTGGTACACGGTGTGGGTGTTTCACATGGCATTTATTTGTTTGCCCACAGCCGCGGTGGTTTGCCCAAGACATTCCTCGTTCGTGAAAGGGAACCGCTCTTGTGCTACTCCGCCAACCCCGAACGAACTAGAATGATGTCCGTCAACGTTCCAGGAGGGAAGACGAACAGCTTACCACCCTATTCCTCTGCTCTCGAGGTCAGGCAGGGGGCCGCCCCCCGGGGCTCCGCCCGTGATCGTGGTGAGATCTTTCGGAGCACACCTGCACTTCCTTTACTGCGTTCGGACGGGGCCGCGAAGTCGGGCATGTCCCTCTACAGGAGGAGCACTCAAGAATGGTCAAAAATTGCCTGGTGACGATCTTCGTGTTCTTTTGACTATTCTTGATTACTTTTTGGACTATTTTTCATGTCTTCCAGAATCCGCATATAGGATAGGAGGACATGCCCGACCTAAGGCTAGGACGAGGATAAATCCGTTCCAGGTTGTTCCGGAACGCTCTCAGAGCGTTCCAGAACGTTCTGAGAAGGCCGCGGTGCCTGAGACGTCCACCAGAGCCGCTGGATCTCACGGATTCTCGATGTATCTTCACCCGATGTTATCCTTACCTTGGCTTCGTCTTACTCGTGCTGCTGTTCTTCGTGCCATGTGTCTAGCCTGCGATGCGTGGTTCCCGCCGAGCACCCAGACGACCTAGGAAGGCCGGGCGCGGCAAATGTCCTGCTGGACCTTACTCACCGG